AGTTATGCAGCTAAAGTGTCTTGGTATGACATTTGTCTCCCTAAGGCTGAGGGGAGCCTTGGTTTAAATAGATTACAATGTTGGAATAAAGCTCTTATGATCCACCATATTTGGAGCTTAATTTCTGGTGATTCTAATTTATGGTATAATTGGGTGAAGGCTTATTTACTTCAAGGTAATTCTTTTTGGAATGCCCTTTTTCCTTCCATTTGCTCTTGGAATTGGAGGAAATTAATTCATCTCAGAGGGCTAGTTAGACGACTCTTCTTTCATGTTATTGGTGATGGGCGCTCCAGCTCTCTATGGTTTGACAATTGGCACCCGCTCGGGCCCTTTACCCTTAGATGGCCTTCAAGTATCATTGAGGAATCAGGGTGAAAATTCAAGTTTCTATGTTTCACCTTTCTTCGAAACAATTTAGGTGTGATTCTGTTACTTGGACATTGTCACCCAATGGAAGCTACCCTGCCTCATTCGCTTAGAATGCTATTAGGGAATCCCATCCGAAAGTCCCACAGGTTGGTCTCTTATGGTTTGGTAAGCATGTCCCAAGGTGGAGATTCATTCCTTGGCTTGCTATAAGGGGTAAGTTATATACATGGATAAGGTAATGATCTTTACCCTTCATGCCTCGCCTATTTGCTCTCTTTGCTTGACTGATAATGAGTCTCACAATCACTTGTTCTTTGAGTGTCCGTATAGTGCCAATATTTGGTCTCATGTGCTTTCTTAGTGTGGTTATGATCCTCCTCCTTTGGATTGGCATAAGTTTATCACTTGGGTTGTTATTAATTGGATGAGTAAGTTGTTGGATGTTAGCATTAAGAAGTTGTGCCTCCAAGTTGTTGTCTATGCTATTTGGAAAGAAGGGAATAACCGTAAGTTCAGAAATGAACACCTCCACTCTGTTGCTATCTTTAAACCCATAGTGAACTCTATAAGCTTACGGTTATGTTCTTTGCAGATTTCGCTTTCTACTGCAAATGTACCTATTTTTCAAGAATGGAGAATTCCTATGTAGTTCTCCTTTTGGTGCCAGTTGTTAGGTTGGGTTGTTGTTTTTAGCTTGGCCTTTGTTGCCATTGTTGTGTAGTAGTTTGTTGCTTCTTTTGGTTCTCTTTTAATACAATCATTCATTTACACCCACCCAAAAAAAAAAAAAAAAAAAAAAATCCATTCCATAGGAAATTCCAACTCAGTCCTCGTCTCAAACATCTTGCCAAAAAATGCCAAGGGAATCAACAATAACATATATAAGATGTATTTTGTGAGGGGTAATGATGGAAGAGTGCCGATCAAACTGACCAAAAGTAAGGTTTTTTTGCCTTTTTTGTATGCTTGTTCTTTGTGTACATATATGAAGTATGCTTAAATCGCATACCGTACGCCTATCTAATACACGACAAGAAGTAGGGAAAAAAAGGGCCCTACGTTTGAGGACACTGTTGGGCCTAATGTGGTAATGAATTCGGGTTAAGCCCGATCCATCTTTTTACCAAGAATTTTCCTCCAATTTTTTTTTTTTCATTCCCTCCTAAAAAATTGGAAAATAATTGTGTATTTTGGTAACATGTATGTATATTCAATTGAGAAAAATGTTTGTTATATATGAGAAATGTTCTTTTGTCAAACAAATCTGCATTATTGAATGGGTTGGATTTTGTTAGAATGGACATTACATACCATCTTCAACAATAAACATTTCTTGAAGTATTTTTAGAAAAGATAAATAATAATGGCACATTATTTTTATAGACACATGGACCACCTAAACCAAATTATACAAGGAAATGCAAGACTGGAGAAATGGACTTTTAAATTGAAATTGCTTAAGTTTGAATTTTGTTGATAAGCGACTTTGATATCAATTTGTTATGATTCGCATCGTGTGATTTAGTTTAAATCTCCTACCTTTAGTGTAAACATATATTGTTGTATTAAAAGATAAAAACTCGAGGTTGTGCTGCGACAAAATTTATCTATATATTGTCTCAATGACAATACTGATGACATAAATGATTATCATGTATTTAAATAGTACATTCTTCGTACGTTAAATAGTTGTTATAGGGTATCACCAATTCTATAAGAGACTTCTCGGCCTAGCGAGCCACCACCCACCAAAAACGACGGGTCGAATGCCATGTTTATTTGGCTTCCTGTTTAACTAAAGCGTTTTATTTGGTACATTTAGATTGAATGGATTGATGTTAGCTGGAATCAATCAGCACTTGCAACCACATGAAATGAAAGCAACCATAAAAATATCAACGGCTCTTGGGCAACCAACCAGCCAACCACATGCCTCTCTCAGCTTCCAATGTGGAGTCCCCACCATATTCATACAAAATAATAATAAACTTTTGTTTTGCCTAGTGATCCTTTACCACAGTGGTGGAGATGATTGATACCCTTACACCACGGTGTAGGTTCAAATCTTGTTGGCTCTTTAACACTAATATCAGAAAATGTGACAGTACATGCAATTTAATAAATCTATCGTTTGACATAAAAAAATAATAATAATAATAATAAACAATTGTTTTTATTTTTCCACTATTTTGATGTGGTGCCAATACTAACACTAATATTAGTATTAAATCAAAATACTAATATGATGTCATGTGTTGAATGCACTGCTTCCAGCTATCTTCAGATTAAATCAAAATAATATGATGTCATGTGTTAAAAACTTATACATGTAACTGGTGAACTCATTCCACAAAAGTTCTTCTTCAATTTCATAAAAATGTAACAAAGTTATGCATAAGGTTTGAGTCATATAGAGACATATATTTGGGTTTCAATGTCATATTTGAGTTCAAGGTGCACATGCCAACCAAATCATAAAAACTCGTATTTCAGTTTTGATTTTAATATTTCTCCTTCGATGTTATACTCAAATGTTAAAAATCAAAACTTTTGAGTTTTTACATTTGGGATTACGTCACGGAAGCTATCTCCAATTCAAAGGCATAAGTTAGAAGTTGAAGAGTCATATTTGACTCCAAATGTAGCGGTGTAATTTATAATATCTTTAATACTTATGAAGTCAAATTTGACTTTAAGTCAATTCAAGAGGTAAATATAACTTTCTTATCTATAGTTATATTTGAAGTCAAGTATATATGATCTCAAATTTTCATTGCATTTGGGATTAAGTCGAATTAGAGGCAAATATAACCTGACTTTAAATCTTATAGTGCATTGCTGTAAGCCTCACCATTATATTGGGCTCAAATTCAAGACAAGATTATAAGCGCATTGCCAATACCGTCCATACCACTAATAAACTCTACATTTAAATAGGCCAGAAATGCAGTCCCTAAAAGTACAGGGACTTGATGAGTCAATATTATATTATATATTTCACCCTATTCTTAATATAATTTGGTAATTATTTTGGTAGAATGTTGATACTTTGCTTTATATTCTCAACGTAGGACATTAGACTTCCTCTGGAGCAAAACATGACCAAACGGACGAATTTTGGAGTGATTCAAATTGGAGGACATTTGTGTGTTCCTTAGCTTGTTCGTGTCAAAATCTCAACAATTTCTACCAAGCGGTTATTTTCTGGAGATTAAATGAAAGAGCAGTGCGCGATGCTGGAAATTGACGTTTATGGGTTTAAACTGCATTTTTGGAGCCCAAGATGACCTCAGATGGGTTTGTGGCCTTCTAGAGAAGTGTTCAGAATAGTCGAAGCTTTAAATCCAGCTATTTTGGGCCCATTTTGGAGCTGATATGGGTCCAAAACGTGGCTGTGCAAGATTTTGGGCGAATTTACCAATTTAATTTAGGATTATGTTTCCTATTTTATTTTAATTTATTTAGTTCCCTAGTCTTATTCTAAGACCATTTTTTTATCAGGAGGGTTTAATGAGGGTAGTATAAATAAGCCTTTTTGGCAGACCTAGGGCGAGAAGGAGGGGGAGAAGGAGGGAGAGAGGAGAACGCAGGCAACTTTTGGAGAGAAGATTTTGGGCAAAGTTCAGAGATTTTCAGATTTTATTCTACAAGGTGTTTTCATTCTTTTTCTATTTCAATAAAGACTATGATTTTTAGTATGAATATGCGTAACTAATTCTTTTTGCTAGGGCGAGGCCATGATCCTTAGCAAGAATATGTAGTCTCTTTTTACTTTGCTTATGAATTTATGCATGTAGGTTTTGGAATGTTAATCACTGTGCTTTAAACTATCTATTTGTCTTAGTGATTCGCGACCATTAGGATATTTGGAAAAGTTATTTGATGCAGTTTTGGCGGAGGATTGTCCCTAAAATTGACTAAAGCTTCTTGTGGTTAATATGTGTAACCTCTTAGGATGGACGACACGTTTTAAGGGTTATATGGTTTTTTAAAAAAGGTTTTCATAAAACTTAATGAGTCTTGCATGTTCACATTCGATCTGAACACCACGGACGGGTTGCATGTTAGATATACGTTCTATGTTGGAGGTTCCAAGTAGGATATACTCTAGGAAAACCTAACCTTCAAAACATACATGTATGGTTCGTAAGTAATTTAGAAAAGCTACATAGGATTGTTAGGGTGACAGCAGAACCCTAGTACTTTCTCTCTTTGAATCCTAAAAATTGTTCCCCTTATCTTTCTTTAAAGTTGTGGTTTTTAAGTAATATTTTTAATTAAATTCGTTTTTCTTAGTTTAGGTCATTAAATCACCTCTTTCAAAAGAAAAACTTTGTTTTAATTAATTAGTTGAGAATTGATTTTGCTTTGATCTCTTTAAATTAATCCTTGTGGAGAACGACCTTGCTTGAGCCAATTATACTACAATAACCTTGTTTCTCTTGCAAGTATTTTAGGTGTTTTTAACCCTTTTACGCAGGTGGTAAAAATTCTATCAAGAAATTGGCGCCGTTGCCAGGGATTGATTTTAAATAGATTTTTGTCTATCATATTCTCAATTAATTATTTCCGTATATATAATAAAAAAAAATTAATTTTCATTTTTTTTTATTCTCTGCAGATTGTGCATGGTCTGTACCAGATCACACAAACAGCAAATTGCAGATTTTGATCCAGAACCTGAACGTACTGCCAGACAGAGACTTAGAAAGCAAAATCTACAGTGTGAACCTTCACTGCAGGGAACAGTTTTGCATAATCGGTTTACTGGGGTTTTGGACAGCAAGGAAGCTATGGCATTTGTTCTACCAACAGCGGGACAACCACTGAGGGAATCTTTGGCTGCTCATGCCACAGAGGTGCCCAGCTGCATTACCTATCCTGAAGTTGAAGATGGGTCTACGTTTGAGATACGACATCATATGTTGGAGATTCTACCTTCATTTCATGGTTTATCAACAGATGATCCTAACATGCATCTAACTGAATTTCTAATGGGATGCAAAAACATTTTGGTGAGAGGATTTTCAGCAGAATCTATCAAACTCAGACTTTTTCCGTACACTTTGAAGGATGGTGCAAGGAGATGGTTACTCACACTACCATCTGGAAGCATTACTTCGTGGAACCAACTTAGTGCTGCATTTTTAAGCAAATACTACCCAGCTTCAAAAACACTTGATATGAGTACTCAAATTTTAACATTTGCTCAAAAACCTAATGAAGCAATTCATGAAGCATGGGAACGTTACAAGGATCTACTCAGGAAATGTCCACATTCAGGCATTAATGGTGACACTCAAATGAATTTATTTTACAGAGGGCTGAATTTGACTACTAAGACTCTTGTTAATGCTTCTTGTGGAGGAACGTATTCAGACAAAAATGCACTGCAAGCGTATCAATTGTTTGAGAACATGGCGACAGAATCTCAACAATGGGCAATTGATATACCTCAGACCAGGGGTGTTTTTGAGATGTCCAGTGGTTCACCTCATGTATCTGCACAAATAGAAAAGATGGAGAAGAAGTTAGAAAATTTTGATGCAAAATTTGACATGCTTTTACAAAGAATGGCAGCACCTATGCAGCAGGTTGCTGTCCAGCAGCCTATTGCAGCCGCCTGTACCATTTGTGGCATTACAACACATGATTTTATGGGTTGCCCACATAGGGCTGCATACCCGGAGCATGTTACAGAGCAGATTAACGCATTCAATAATTATCAAAGGCCTAGAAATGATCCGTACTCAAATTTTTACAACCCCGGGTGGAGAGATCACCCAAATTTCAAGTGGAATAGAGATCAACAGGTTAAACCACAGTTTCAACAACAAATACAGCAACCTGATGCTCAAGCTAAACCTTCTTGGGAAGTCGCAATTGAAAAATTGGCAGATCATACTAAGGCAAGTTTTGATGCAACAAAACAGGAAATTCAAAAAACCAACCAAAACATTCAGAACATACAAGCAACAATGAAAGATCTACAGCAGTAAATGGGGCAGCTTTCACTCCAGTTTTCGGGCAAAGAACCAGGAAAATTTCCCAGCCAAACTATCCCAAATCCACGTGGAAATGAAGATTGTAATGCTGTTAGAATATTGCGTTGTGGTAAAAGTTATGACAACCGTGATGCAGAAAATAAAGAAAACAGTGCTGGAGCTTCACGGGTAGCACCTGTGCAGCCACAAACAGGTTCTGAAAGTTCTGCAGAATCTGCCCAACCACTGGACAGATCCAAAAATACTGCAGTGCCTACTGCAGAAAATGCAGAAAAGTCAAAACGTGTTTATGTTCCACCTATGCCATATCCCGAAAGATTGAAGCCACATGGAAAAGATCAACAATTAACAGATTTCATGAAGACATTGGCTAAAGTTCAGATTAATCTGCCATTAATTGATGCAATCAAGAACATTCCTTCATATGCCAAGTTTTTGAAAGATGTGTGCACAAATAAAAAGAAGCTTGTGGACTTCGAAAAAGTGATTCTCACAGAGCAGTGCAGTGCAGTTCTATTACAAAAGCTACCACCAAAGAAAAAAGATCCAGGGAGTTTTACAATTTCATGCACAATTGGAAATTCTGAGTTTAAACGTGCTTTAATTGATTTGGGTGCTAGTATTAATTTAATGCCTTTTTTTGTTTTTCAGCGGCTGGGACAAGGAGAAATCAAACCAACATCTGTTATTTTACAGTTAGCAGATCGTTCGGTTGCTTATCCTAGGGGTATTATTGAAGATCTTATTATTAAAGTGGATAATCTCTACCTTCCAGCAGATTTTGTGGTTTTGGATATGGATGAAGATATGCAAACACCAATTATTTTGGGGCGCCCATTCATGGCAACTGCTAGAACTTTGATAGATGTGGAAGCTGGCACATTGACGCTTAGAGTACAAGAACAATCTGTTGTGTTTAATTTATTTGAAGCAACTAAGAGGCCTAGTGATATGCAAGATTGTATGAGAGTTGACGTGTTAGAAGGCATCATGCATGCAGATATTATGCCTAGTTTGACAGCAGATCCACTGTTCAAAGTTTTACATGGTTTTGAAGACGCCAAAACTGAAGATGAAGAAGCTTTTAAGTATGTTACAGCTTTGGAAAGTGTCCCTTTACACCAGCCAAAGTGGAGGCACATTTTTGAGAGTTTGGGAGAACCAAAAATGCCATTACAGCCTTCAAAAATACAGCCACCTAAGCTGGAAATGAAGCCATTACCAGCACACTTAAAATATGCTTATTTGGGTGCTAATTCTTCACTGCCAGTTATTGTTTCTGCAGATTTATCTCCAACTGAGGAAGACAAATTGCTGCGTATTTTGAGAAAATTTTAAGATGCCATTGGGTGGACAATTGCAGATATTAAGGGGATCAGCCCAACACTCTGTATGCACAGAATTTTGATGGAGGAGGGTGTCAAACCCACCATTGATGCTCAACGCCGATTGAATCCGATCATGAAGGAAGTTGTTCGAAATGAGGTTATGAAGCTTTTAGATGCTGGAATGATTTATCCAATTTCAGATAGTAAATGGGTAAGTCCTACTCAAGTGGTACCTAAACGCACTGGAATTACAGTTGTGACAAATGACAATAACGAGCTTGTGCCTACACGTTTAACTACTGGGTGGCGAATGTGCGTTGATTACAGGAAGATCAATACAGGTACTAGAAAGGATCACTTTCCGCTACCCTTTACTGATCAAATGTTGGAAAGATTGGCTGGTCGGGCTTTCTATTGTTTTTTAGATGGGTATTCAGGCTACAATCAAATTCCAGTTGCACCAGAGGATCAGGAAAAGACCACATTCACCTGCCCTTTTGGTACATTTGCTTACAGAAGAATGCCTTTCGGATTATGCAATGCACCTACCACATTCCAACGATGCATGATGAGCATATTCTCAGGTTTGGTTGAACGAGTTGTTGAAGTATTTATGGATGATTTTTCTGTTTTTGGGGATTCGTTTGATCATTGTTTGCAGAATTTATCTTTGGTTCTTGAGCGTTGCAAAGAAACTAATCTCGTATTGAATTGGGAGAAGTGTCATTTTATGGTTAAACAAGGAATTGTTTTAGGGCACGTAGTATCTAGCAAGGGTATTGAGGTTGATAAAGCTAAGATTGATGTTATTGCTAAGTTGCCCTCTCCTACTACTGTGAAGAGCATTCGTTCGTTTCTTGGACATGCTGGGTTTTACAGACGGTTTATCAAGGATTTCTCCAAGATTAGCCGACCTTTGTGTAACTTATTGGCTAAGGATGCACAGTTTGTTTTTGATAATGCATGCTTGGAGGCTTTCAACAGGACTCATCGGAGTACTGAAAAAAATCCCCAAGAATTGGGAAGCTGTACGAACCGTCAATGGGGTGGGGCCCATGTTCTTTTTGAGTTGGGTGATATCCTCATATCCCCACCATGTGAAGTACGTGTGAAGATGTTGTGCAGCTACCCAGAACACACCTAACACGCAATAATATTTCTTACTCACCTGACGCAGCGTCAGGGGCGGTCACGCTGCCTTTTCATTTGTTCATGGATGAGAAATCAAAGGTCCTGATAGCATTTTTATTTTGTTTTTGTTTTTTACTATTTAGATCAACGATTGTGAAACTAACAATGATTTTTAATCTTTTAGTTCCTACATTTAAGAGTTTTACTATAAGAACCTCTCTTTGAAGGCGAAATTCTTTTAGAGACCTAAATATTCCTTGAAGCCCCTAAAAGAGTCCTAAAGAACGTAGGTTAAAACCCTAAGATAGGATCTCTTATTAAAGATGCTCTAAGTTTTGTATCAGTAATTTAGAGAAAGTCTAAAGAGCTGTATTTGCTCGCATGCATGTCGATGATTGATCCGAGCATTTTTCACAAGGTTAATCCCAATCATTCTTTGCTTTATAAGTCTCACAAACATAAATAACTCAGATCATCCACATGTTAAACTTTTTCTCTGTTCACACACTCATATTCACGTCATTATTATTTGACTTATTTAATATGAGGACATAGAATAACGAAAAGTATGAATGAAGTTAAGAAGTTGATATTATCATTTTGGTCTCACAAAAATTATAAAGGACTGTCACACTGACGGAATCAAGGACTACGTCAATGAGGCCATGCTTTTTTTTTTTTTTTTTTTTTTTGAGAATGCTATCCATCCATCCTTTTTTTATTTCTCACGCACTTGTTAATTTATTTCCTTTATTTTTTTTTTTAATTTTTCAATCCGACAGTCAATTTAAAAAATATGAAGGCGTACGTTATAAACAACAGAGGAAATCAAAGGAAAAATCCTATAGCGTCACCCTAGCTTGGTGTCCAACGAACAAAAGAAAAGACCGGAAAACGTCGATACTTCGGTGGAACTGAAACTCAAGGATAAGTTTCTCAAGTGCCAGAAAGCTGCGCCCCATCCATTTTTGTGACTTGAGAAGGTCCAATGCCAACTCAGGTATGAATTGTTTAACAATGTTCATACAATCACAAGGGTAAAAAGTTGAGTTGAGAGTCAAAGGAGGGCGGTCGGGGGAAACTAGTTGACACTAGAGAGTTTCCTTACAAGAAGAGGAAGCAGAAAGAAATATCACCAAAAACAACAAAAAGCACACAGAATCCAGCTACAGATCACGACGAGTTCAGGAATTTCTGGGCAGCATCCAAACTCAGTTCTTCATAGACCTGGAACAAATAGAATCGAGGTTTTTTCAATGTAAACAGAAACCAAAGTAGTATTTATGACTACTATTTGTTGAAAAACATATGGTACATACGAGTTTCTGGTGGATTCGTTGAAATGCCTTGCAAAATCTCTCTGCTTCTGCTGCACCCACCTAAACAATTGAGTACAAGTAGTTAGTTTTCCTTCCAACCAAAACTATTCTTAGTTTTTGTTTCATTTATTTCTTCCTTTGTAGTTGAAAAAAAATGTCCCCTCAATTTTCAGTTAACTCCATTTGTAAATATGACAGCGTCGTGGAACACAAATTTACAATCAACATATGAACAGCTGACAACTGATAGTATACATGTGGCCAACTAAGGAATAAGATAACACATACAAGTACCAAATAAAATAACACGCACACACGTATGTGGCTGCACATGCGTACACAAGCAAGAAATAAAAGGGTACTGCATACACTAGGTTATGACCACGGCCAAGGCTTTGTTTTTAGCATTGAAGAATTACGACAACTTCTTGGAATCGTGAAATCAAGTTTCCCAATTCCTTTCAAAGAACCTATAGTTCAAAACGAGAGCTATCCCTGCCTCTGGTTTTATCTAATTGTATACATAAATAGTACTTTTACAAAGCTCCTAAGGTCTTCTACAGTTTCAGCTTTGCTGGCTCAAGATATTTCTTTTTCATGAATTATAGTAAGGACTGCTTTCTGGACATGGGAAGATAATCTAGATTGAATGCTGGAGAAGTCTTCGATAAGATAGGAGGTTCCCAAATATTGGTCCTGCTTAGGGAATCTTTTTTTTTTTTTTTTTTTTTTATATTTTTTTCCGGTAACATCCTACTTAGGGATTTTGCTAATTCATAAAACATAAATAAATCGAGTTCCAAAACAGAGTTAGATTTTGAACCTAAAAGAAGGAACCACTAAAAGCCTATACAAATCCAAATCCCAACTTCTAGAAAATATTAATCCTAAAATTACTACAGCCATACTCACATACAAACATGAAGCTATGGCCGTGCCTTTTTTAATAGATAGGTTCAGGTTTTCCTTTCATACAGATGTTTAAATCTTATGTACTTCTAGTGCAAGGGATCTGAGTATTTCACAATAAAACATGGGTGATTAGGCCCTTGAGCAATTCTCCGCGCAAACACTCTACTGATGTTGTCTAACAATATCAACACAATTAAGTGTTAGTTAATACACTTGCTTAACTTAAAAGCAGTTAAGTCATAAATTCATTTCCGGGTGGCCAATGTATCAATGTCAACCAATCAGGAAAGGGTGGGCAATTAATTTTGAGGCTTTTCTGCCCAGCTGAGTGTCTCAGATGAAAATGAAAAGACACTGAGGGCCAAGCACTGCGTTGTTACCTTGTACTAATGACTAAAGTTGTGAAGCAGTTGGAGAAAGTAAGCAGAGTTGGAGAAGACTTTAGAATACAGTTCACATTGTCCGCCATGGGTAGATTTATTTAATTTAACTGGAAGAGGGCTTCTTCCGAAGCCAGTAGTTGTAGTCACCCTAGACTTGTTTTGATAGCAATGGTACAATATTCAACCCTCAACTTGTTTCATTATGAACTATTGAACATTAAAAAATAATTGGGTTGTATCAGATCTCTATTGTTTCTTATATGTTTATTTCAATTGCATAAGTATCCATCAACTCAATTCTCAAAAACCTTATACAGAAGAGAAGAGAGTTCACCTAAGTACATTAAAACATTCAACAAAAATCACAATGTACACCCACTTTTCACTCCTAGACACTGAGAACAATTAGTTTTTATTTTGGACTGGACTTCAATTACCATTGGGTAGGGTTTGAATAAAACGAAGAGTTCATAAATGGGACAATTAAATTTTTTGGAGTTTTTTTTATCCAACATCATTAGATGCAAACAAAAACGGCTAAAATATAAGTACATCATTGCATGCTCAAAACCACATCACTAAGTTCATGTCTTCTGTTTCTATATGTCCAGAAACCTGTTGTGTCAAAATATGACACCATATAAAATTTCATATAATGGTCTTAGATAATCATATTATGTAAAAAATACAATCGCCACATATCCATGAAAATCAAGAAAATCAAAGACGAATATGGACATACCTTTCTCTCAGCGATCAATTTTAGCTTCTCCCAGAATTCACCTGTAATTACTCATCCATATAAGTGCAAAATATTTAACTTCTATATTAAACATACAAAACTGGTGGAATTTCTTTTTGGTTACTGATACATCCATGGAAGACGAATAAAGAGAGTGTATGTTAAAACATACCATGTTCGTCAAGTCCTTGCTTCTCCACTTCAATTTTATCTCCCTCATCCCATGCATCTTGCCATTCTTTATGCTGTTGAGAACATTCAAAAACGTCAACATCTTGTGTGTGAATGTGTGCATACTGTAAAACGGAAATATGTACAAACATTTCAGTATACCTCTTCATGCTGTGCTGACTTAGAAGTTGATTCTCTAGATTGTTCTGATTCAGCCTAAAATTATACAAAGTTGTCTAAGAATGGCTTGATGAATATATAATCAACATAAAAACTCATAATGAATACTAAAGGAATAGCCAGTTCAAACGGAAAATGGGTTGGTCATTCAACCAAATTGTTTGGAAACATTTAAGATACTGGAATTTAATTTTCAGCAATAGTACAAGAATTTATACGTTCTATGTAACCCATCTCAAAACTTTGACACTGCAGATACTCAAGAAATATTTTTAACTTCACGAAATTTTCCTAGATGCATCAAATTCCACAAAGTTTTATTACCTTGAACAATATCAAATGTGAAAATTTTCATAAAACCTTGATGCAGTTTCGTTAATATGATGTTCACATCAGGTGAAATCAGACAAAAATTTTGAAAGACTAACAGAAACAAGCCAACAACCTTAGTGATCCAAGAAAAAGCGCAACCATAGTCTTGTACAGCAGAAAAAAGGTCTCGAACTATTAAATGCCACCAAGTCTTGTTGAGAAACAATGGCAGAAGAAGCAAGGATGACACACCAACCCTAATAACTTTTTTGAATCCCTAACCCAATCTAAACCAAATAAATCCTACTTAAGCTACTCATCTTCTGACCCTGAAAAACTAGCCGTCGCTGACATCATCTACAAGGCCGAAATTTTCATCTTTGATTTAATTACAAAAAAAGAAACGACTAAATAAGGGATGAAAATTTCGGCCTTCCATACATATCCGTGATGATGCCCGCCAATGCAAATGGCTCTGAACTTTAAACAAATTGATCGAAACTTACTTTCTTCTCTGACTCAATATGACATCTACATCAGTCAAAACTACTTAATGCAACCCACCATCCATCTAAATCGATTTATCCATCACATCCCCCTCTCAAAAGAAACATAAACTCTTAACACCTTCCACAATGCCACTTCTAATTGAGCATGCATCCATAATTTCTATAGTTCCCCGTGGTATTGATATTGGCAGATGCAGATTGCAGCTGCAGGCAGCAGCTGCAGCGCTATCAAATCCAATCTTTTCCTTTTCACAATCAAAATCTAATCTTTACACCTTCTAACTATAAGAAATGATAAAGGGTTATCTCAAAAATAGATGGTGCATCTGCCCAAAACTCAAAATCCAGAAAAGGATTATATACTGTTCGTTTAAAAATATAAAATAATAACAGGAACAATTTTTGCCCAACAAGTTTTAACGGTTGCCAGATTCCATAAATTAAATTATCAACGACGCGTTCTAAAAGAGAGAGAGAGAGAGAGAGAGAGAGAGAGAGAGAGAGGGTTACATGGTAGTCGCGAGATCGGACGATTGGGAAGAGATCGAGAAGGCGTCGAAATTCAGCGTCGTCCATGGCGGTGGTGGTAAAAACGTACTTATTGCTAAAGTGCTGATTCTTGTACTCTCCCAATTCTCCAAATTTTATTCCACCCTTTTTTCTTCTTCCTCTCTATTGGAAAAGAAAATTACTCCAAAAATAAAAAACAGTTTTTTTTAATAGCCAAATTTGTGGTGACATGTCACTTTCAATGTGATATTTGTGATGAAAAAGCTATTAATTAAACTTTCGTGGTGAGCCGTGTTAGCAATTCAGGTCCAAATTCAAAGTTCTGTTAATCTTCCGTTAAATAAAATCATGTGGCTATCACATGTGGATCGGTCAAAATTAAGTTAATTTATTTTGAAAAATAAAAGAACAAAAACATGATTGAATTAAAATAAAATTACAAATAAAAGATACTTGTAAAGAGATATATATATATATATATATATATAAATAAATAAAACCCAGCAGTTCTCGTATCTCATCTCAGGCTCCTAGCCACCGCCATAGCTACCAGTTGACCTCCTCCAGGGTCGCTAACCATCACCCCAATTCGATAGCACATGTATCTCAACCTATATAATGTAGAAAAATCATATATGCACAATAATAACTTAAAGAGTTAAAGACAATGGGTGAAATGCAGTATATTTGCATTCAAACGGGTGAAAGGCATTGTAGAATTACTGACAATGGGTGAAAGGCATTGCAAAAAATTCAATCTTCAAGTCTGCCCTCCGCATATGAACTTCAAGAGCGTAAGAAAGTTAAAGAATTAAAATTCAAAGAAGATTAAGAAAAAAATTGAAAGGTTGTGTACTTGCCGACTAAGGCCTGCATAAAACCACATTACCAATTAAAGATAAAACTGAAAAGCAAATGCATTCAAACAGGTACCAATTGATACAAGAATGAAAATTTAAGTAAGACTAAGACTCTAACTCATGATCAAAGACGTGTTGGCATTCAAAAAAGAAACAATGGTATATTAGAAGTATTAGGATTTCCAAATGAAATTAAATCATACCTAAGAAATTAGGCGCGACTTCACCTTCACCTCTTCTCCTAGCCATTGACGTGGTTTTACAGGTTTAGTTTTAGTCTTCGCATTCAAACATCTTTTTTTTTCTTTTTTCCTTTTTTTTTTTTTTGTAAAATCTAATTTCAGTTAAATCCTAAATTATACTACATGTCCATTGAATAAGATGTAATTTGGATTGAAATGACGAATTTGACCCTTCATGTGATAGTCACATGCGTTTATTTAAAGGAAGACTAACGGAAATTTGGATTTAGACCTCAATTGATAACAAGGCCCACCACGAGGGTTTAATTAAAAGCTTTTTCACCATAAGGGTCACATCGAAAGTGGCGTGTCACCACAGGAATCACGAAAAAAATTAGGCCTTTTAATTTACCCAACCCCTGAATTTTTCTTACGAGCCAATTTCACCCTATTTACTAGGGAGCTGTCAATTTTCTCTTAACTTTAATTTTACTTAATTATCCCTAAATTTTTCTAACGAGCCAATTTCTCACTTGAATTTTAATTTTAGCCAATTACTTCTTGAACTTTTATAAATAGTCAATTTTCCCTCATGTTAGATTTTAAAAAATTTCATCTAATTTTTCATCCATTTTAATTACACGCACAACACATGACAACCATATAAGGGCAAAAAATTGAAAAATTGGATGGAAAATCTTAAAATCTAACACTATGGGGAAGATTGGCTAGATATAAATTTTTACAGGAGAGAATAGGCTAAAGTTCAAATTCAGGAGAAAAATTACCTAATGTTGTAAACTTTCCTAGTTTAAGTGTGATTGTGTAAATCCTAGATTATATTTGATTCTAGTTATCCTTTCCTATTACACCTTGTATTACTTGGGGAAAAAGGAATATCTTCTCTCCTTTTACTACTATAAATAAAGGCACAATGTAGGAGGATAACAACACACATTCCCCTACAATTCTACAAACACATCTCTCTCAATCTCTTTACCCTTGTTGCCGACCCTCTTTAACCTTGTCAGATAAAATAGGCTATAACACATTATCGGCACGCTCCTACCGTTGTGCTTAGGAATATGACGTTGAAGAATTTTTCTGCATCAAACCAGTTCATCCATATCATCATGCAATCAGGTTCTTTCAAAACAACGGTTTTTATCTCGATATTTTTGCAACCTTCATAGCATGAACATTCACCATAATGCATGACCCAACTTTACGTTTTTCGAATTTTAGATTCTACATAAATTGAACATGCATTATGTTCATAATTGTTGAATTATGTGAATTTGATATTTGCTATAAATTGCATCAAATATATGTACATGCATTATACTATTGAATTGAATATGCTTTGAATTAAACTATATATGAATTGAATTAAAAAAAAACATAAAAAAACAAATAAATAATCGAAACAAGCAACCTGGGTTCTTCCCTCATGCCATTGAACTAAGCCTATAGCTTGGGTGGCCAAGCCGTGCCTAGCCGCGAGTTCCCCAGCCGGAGCTGAGGGCTTCAAGATTGAAACCCAGTGACCCCGACGTCTTCCATGGCATCTTCCCCAGTCCCAGGTTGGCCTGTAGCCAATCCTCATCCACATGTCACCATGTTTGATGGCCTAAAGCTCATCCTTGATACCAGTTGATAGAGATTCTCGAATCTCGTCAGAATTTTTTTTAATTTCCGATTCGTATTACTAGGGTTTTGATAGAACGTTGAGATTTTTCAATCTCTGTTCATGTTTGAGGTCTTTGTTGACCCATGGTCTTGCCCCGAGCACCGTTGTCTTAAAGCACGGCCACCTGAAGTGGTGGCGCCGACCTTCTTCCCCGACGAACGCACCCAGCTACGGCTAAGATGTCTTTGGACCCAACATTGGGCTCCATCTCTCGGCCTGCTCCCTAATTTTTTGGGCGCCTTGTATGGCCCATAAGTTGTTTGACCGGCCCACAAAAAAACAAAAGTTTTTTTTGTTTTTTTTTTTTGGCTCACCTAAAGCAGTCGCGCAAACATAAGGTTTTTTTTTTGTTTTTGTTTTTTGTTGGGCTCGCCCGAAGTAGCCCACTACCTAGGCCCGACCTATTTTTCTTCTCATCCTTCCCCCCCCCCCCCCCCGACGGTTTCATTATTTGTGCTAGACCCAATCCGTGCCCTCTTTGTTTGGGCCTGGAACCCTACCCGAGATCAAACCTAGCCCAATTTTTGGGCCTAGGTCACACAAATCATTTTTTAAGCCATCTGTGGCCTTATTTTTCCTATCGGGCCTTGAGTTTTATTTGCCAATTATTTTAGGCCCAATGGGTTTTATATTTTTTTCACCCACACTTTAATTTGGCCCAAAGTCCAAATAATTAAATCAATTATAATTATAGACCTAAAGTTTTATTTTTGCATTTTCTTGTTGCATATTTTTGTGTATATATTTGTGTTTGCCTGCAGAAATATATGAACTTGAAGTTCATAATTATTTTGAAACTTGAAGTTTCTTATAAACATGTCTTATTTGAAAACTTGAAGTTTTCATTTAAAAACATCACCCATGAAAACCTGATGCGAAAATTAACTTAACACACAAATTAAACCCTCTTTTGACAATTGTAGTATATAAATAAGTAGGGATCGTTCTTAAACCGGGGATTATGAGGAATTGCTAAACACTTTAAACTGACTCAAATAGATAAAACTAAACTTTAAAACACTTAACTCAACTTAAAAGACTCAAAACAAGTTCACAAGACTCAAAATAAGCTAAAAACACTCAAAATTGCCTAAAAACACAAATTGGGCAGATTTGACTTGAAACATAATTTTGGGCGAGTTTTGGGGTTTAACTTGACTCAAAACACTTGAAAACACAATCTAAAACAGATTTTAACTAGTTAGACACTCTAAACTAAAGGGGGATTTGGTTTTGGACGAAAATATAGTAAACAAAACAAAAACTAGAACTAGGCAGATTTGCACGAATTTGGTGAAATTAGATGGATGATGGGCTAGCTAGGAGGTCTTTCTCCACACATGACATACTTGCATACAAAACAATCTCCAGTTGCTTTTTCAATGAATCATGAATCTCAACACCCCAAGTTAATTAGGTACACTTAAATTAACTCTCAGAATTTCCTTACGTCATTGAATTGAATGGAATTAGTGCATTGCAATCAAATTATTCCTCAAAAGTTCTCTACATGAAAGCGCATAATAGAAAAACAATCAAAGATCATTAAATTCTATGAAAATCATAAGTGTTGACGAGGCGTTCGTAACTATGAAAGCGCATGATACTTATGCCAAGAATTTACTTAACATGATTATGACTAACAACCTTTACTACTCATGAATATAAGTTCACAACGATTAGGTGAAGTTTCCTTATATCCTAGCATCAGATTTATGCATGCAAATTAAGTGTGCACTCTCAACCCACATAACAAACAAGTTTTAATTCAAAAAGATAAGTAAATTGATTTCACAATTCATGAAATCACAACTGGAAGTAATCAAATCATAATGCCAATATAGCCATGGTTTCGAAATTCCCCCTAGCTAGAAGGGAATTAGTTCCTCATACTCACACAACAAAGATTCTTGAATTTAAGCATTGAAAAACACAAGAAAGATTACACCTAAAACGTTCCAGAAACTCCAAGTCAAATGGCATGTACGTCTAGGGCTTTCCTTCTTCTTCCTTGCTGCGGCACAAGGTGTGTGTGGTGGTTTTGGGGGTTATGAATGATGTATTCTTGCTTGGGATGATGATTGATGGCTAATTATGGTGAAGGGTTGCGGCAGATTGTGTATGGAGGTGTTAGGATTGAATGGATGATGGAGAATGGAGGCGAGGGCTTACGGCAAGGAATTTCTGAATAGCATCAAGGGCCCATCCGAATTTGAGGTTGAAAATATGAATATATAGTTCGGCCAACCTTAGGGTTAATTAAATTAAGGTTACAACTTAACAGATTTTGAAGGCTTAGGGCCCTAGGTTTCGGCACAATTGATTTAATCCACTTAGGAGAGGGTTTGGCCCAATTAGTTTCAGAAAAGGATTTGTGTAACCCAAATCCACAAGGAATAAGGCCTAGCAAATCAGAATCCAAAAGGGATAAGGCCTAG